GATCTATCATGGAGAATGTTCCTTGTGCACTGGAAAAGAATATATATTGTGCTGCTGTTGGGAGAAGTGATCTATAGAGGTCTATAAGGCCAAGTTGGTGAATTGTATTGTGTATCTCTTCTGCATCTTTGTTGAGTTTCTTTCAAGTTGTTCTATCTTTTATTGAAAGTGGTGTATTAAAGTCTCCCACAATGACTGTGGAGTCATCCATTTGCTTTTTCGTCTTTTTTAAAGTCTGATTTATGTATTTTTGGGCTCTTTCATTGGGTGCACTGATATTTATTATAGTTATATCTTCTTGTTTCAATTGATCCTTTAATCATTATATAATGTCCTTCCTTGTCTTGTATGGTGGTTTTTGTCTTAAAGTCCGTTTTATCAGAAATTAATATTGGCACTCCTGCTCATTTTTGGTTACCATTTGCTTGATATATCTTTTTCCAACCTTTGATTTTTAGTCTATTTTTGTCTTTGTGTCTAAGGTGTGTCTCTTGTAGGCATTTTAATGGGTTATATTTTCTTATCCAGTGTGCAATTCTCTGTTTTTTGAGTGGTGGATTTAATCCATTAACAGTCGGTGTAATTTTTGACAAGTATGAATTGGTTGCTATCATTTTGTTATGTGTTTTTTGATGTTATTCCTGGTTTCTTTGTTCTGTGTGATTTTCTGTGCTGAACTCTTTATGTTTATGAATTGTGTTATCACTTCCTTCATTGCTTCTGTTTTAATATTTGCTAAGTATTTGTGCTTGTCCTCTTTTTTATTGTGACGTGAAGGTTTATCATTTTTGTTTGAGGTTACCCTGTGACTTATAATTTTCTCAAGTTTTAAACAGTCCATTCTATCTTGTAACTCTCTTGAATTCCTCACCATTTAGAAGTTCTGTAACTACAGTATTTTTCCCTGCTTTTTGGTTTGTATTGTCCACACTTGCCAATTGATGTCTCTGGTTCCCTGTTTAAAATCTTGTAAGCTTATTTTACTTGGGATACATCCATAACTTTGTTGGTTTCTGGGTTATGTCATCTTGTATATTAATGGTTGGTTGTTGATTTTCTGTTCAAAGGACTCCCTTTAGTATCTCTTGTAATATTGGTCTGGTTTTGACAAATTCCCTTAATTTCTGCTTATCTGGAAATGTCCTAATTTCACCATCATATTTGAGGGGCCATTTTGCCTGGTATATAATTTTTGGTTGGAAATTCTCTCTCAGGGTTTTATATATACCATCCCATTGCCTTCTTGATTGCATGCTTTCTGCTGAGTAATCAGAGCTTATTCTTATTGGCTGTCCTTTGTAAGTAACTTTTTGTTTTCCCATGCTGCTTTCAGGATTCTTTCTTTGTCTTTGGTTTTGATGAGTTTGATGATGATATGTCTTGGAGATTTTCTTTGGGGTGTCTCCTGTTTGGGGTTCATTGGACTTCCTGAATGGACATATTCTCATCATATCAGGGACGTTCTCTTACAAGAAATCTGGGACAATTTTCTCAGTGGTTTTCTTTGTCTGTTCCTATTCTAGAATTCTGATGACACATAGGTTGTTGCTTTTGTATTCCACATGGAACCTTGTTGTTGTTATTTGCCGTCGAGTTGACCCCGACTCATAGCGACCCTTCCTTGGGTTTCCGAGGCAGTATCACTAAGGAAGTAGGATTGCCCAACCTTCCTTCCGAGGAGTGGCTCGTGGGTGAACCTTAGGCTTTCTTAATTTTATTTTGGTCTTTTTTCTGATTGATCGTTTTCCAAAGAAGTATTCAGGTATTTGTCTTTAATCTCATTAATTCTGTCTTCCATCACATAATTCTACTCCTTTCCCTTTCAATCTGTTATCTATTTCTGAAGATTTAGTATTAATCTTCTGGATTTGTATCTGTAGGTTTTGTATCATTTCCAATTTTTCATTTATTTTGTCATTTTGTTTTTGTATTTCCTTCCAGAATTGTTCTAGGGTCTTGCTTGTGTTTTCCTTAATTTTGTCAGTGTTTTCCTTGCTCTATCTTTCAATCTTTGAAGATACCTAAATATAATTCTTTTGAGTTCCTTATCAGGGAGTTCAAATGCTACTTCTTCCTCAGGGATGTGTTCTAGGTCTGTATCCTGTTCCCTTGTTTCTACCACTTTATCTTGCTTCTTTGTGTGGACTGTGATGTTCTTTTGTCTCAAGGACATTGTAATGTTGTTGTGTTTAGATCTCTGTTAACTGTTTGTGGCTCTTCTTGGTGGTCAGTCGTCTTTGGCATTTGGTGGAGAAGGAAGTGGTGCCTCTCACTCAGTAAGTGAAGCTGCAGGAGATGCTGATGTAGTTGTGTTGTATGGGCATTGTTGCTGTCTCCCAGTCAGTTATATAAAAACAATAGTCGAATAACCCACCATAAATAACCCACCTGGAAGGGAAGACTAAAGAATAATAATAAAAAGGACAAATATTAACAATAGTATTAAAACAGACAAAAACAAACTAATAAAAGGGGGGCATCTGGGAAGGGCAGGGCAGTGCACCTAGGCTCCGTTGGAGCACACAGAATGGGATGGAATTCCTTCCAGCCCAGAAGGTAGGTGGGAGTGAGGGGTAGTTCGTACCTCCGTTGACCAAGGGAGCTTGGGCTGGCAGTGTAACAAGGGGAATATCCCACCTTTCCAGTCATTGGTATCCGGAATGTCCTTCTATAACCTTTTCAAAACTTGCAGTATAAAAGCTTCCTTCATTTTCATGTGTGTGGGTGTGTGTGTTTTAAAAAGATGTCCACCAATCATTGTACAGCTGTAGCCATAATTTATTTAACAACTTCCTTATTACTGCATATTTAGGTTGTTAATCATTTCTCACTTCCTAAACAATGTAGTGATTAATTTCCTTATATAGAACATTGCACACTTGCTATTCTTTAGGATTCACTAATAAAGTGGAATTACTTTGTTAACCAAATGGCCCGAATATATTAAAGGCTTTTAATGAGCCCGTGGTATTGGTGGAAATTTTTGCACATGTATTTAATATTTCTCCTGTTCTCTTCTCTGAAAGAAAGTGTATCTGCTTTTTAAAAAGTATATATATAAAATGTATATAAAATCTGGAAAGATTTTCTTCTGTTTTCTTTAAATGTTCTCAATCTTGTACAGTGAATTAGTATTACTTTTATAATGAGAACTAATGTTTTGTTCAAAGGTAGTCTGATCTCAAACATGTATTTTAAAATTGTGTATACCAGCATTTACTTAACACCAATTCCATTCTCCATATTTAACTGTCATTAAAACTTGTTCTCTCAGTCGCTTCTGTGCTCATGTGATAGTTTTAAAACCTTAAAAAGGAGCAACTCAAAATGTGAGAAATGCTTATGAAGTGGCTTCATTTTAATTACGGTTGGTGTCTGTATTATGAACAAATTCTGTTTCTAAGTCTGTCCTTATGTTGAATGTGTAGGTAAGTTAGAACAGTTAGGTATGGCTAATATCTAATGTCAATTAAATGCTGGTCTTAATATGTAGTGTACCTTCCTGTGTATAAAAAACATTAAAGAAACATTTACCAGTATGAGCTCTGGTGGCTTAGTGGATAAGGCATCTGGACTGAGAAGGTCAGCGGTTCAAACACACCAGCTGCTCCAAGGATGGAAGATGGGGCATTCTACTTCTGAAAAGATTTACAGCCTCAGAAACCCAATGGGGGTTGCTATGAGTCGGAATCGATTTGATGGCAGTGAGTTTTGTTTGTTTGGTCTGAGTTTATTAAATGCAATAGTTAAGAACCTATTTAACAGAATACTACAGTAATAGTAGTAATGTTGTTTTGATGCAAGTCATACAGTAGCACCTGTTTGTTATTTTGAATTACTGAGTTCTGGTAGCATAGTGGCTAAGACACTTGCCTGCTAACCAAATGGCTGGCGGTTCAAACCCACCAGCCACTCCTCGGAAGGAAGGTTGGGCAATCCTACTTCTGTAGTGATACTG